GATGCCATTTTCATGCATATCGATTGCCGGGATATTAAAATTTGTGCAAAAATTTTAATAATTATAAATTTACTATTAAATCTGACTAAACATTGCAATTTTTAATTAGTTCAGCACAAAAAAGTTCCACTCAAATCTATAAAAATATTGTATTAATTAGTCTAGCTAGTTTAAATCAGCAATTAAAGTCACTACAAACTACAATATAGATGTAAACTACCGGTATACTAGATCTACACAGGCTTTTTTCTTAACCATTGCTTAAACCTGGTCTTTATTTTAAGCCTGTCTTTCTTTGTGTCCACACCCAGTGTTTCCAAGGTTTCATCATCAATATCAAACAAAGCAATACCATCAATTTCCATTTCCATAAACTCCTCAATGTATTGATCTAATTTCAGGGAGCGAAGATAGTTAGATATTTCTGTAGAAGTAACTTTTTCAGCTGCAGCACTAAGATCATGATCACTGGTTTGTGCTGCAGGTGGAGCTTCTTCAATAATAGTCTCAGGTCGACTTAAATTTGGAAAATCTTGTGACACTTCAGGCATGCTTTCATCTTCTTCAGTTATAATGTTTTCTTCCGCTATGATTTCCTCATCATCAAAGCCATATGCACCTTTGACTGGATCATAAACTTGAGTGTAATCAATTTCAGTTGCCATTTCTCTAAGGTGCTCTAGTTTTTCTTCTGACCATAGGTCCTCAATATATTCAGACCATTTGTTTTTATGTGAGCCTTCGTCAAGTCGTTCTTCTTCAATGCAAATAATAACTCTACACATAATAAAGATACAACTAAAATGTGATATCTTTATCTACTGGTAATTACTTTCTTAAGCATATTCGTAATGCCATGTAGTGTCTGGGTTTTATATGTTTTGGAAATAGCTTAATAAGATTTTCATCATCATCAGTTACAAGTGACAAATTTCTCAAATATTGAAATATTGATACATCCGGCTAAAATTAAAAAATATACAACTCTGTATTTAAACAGGTCACTTACCTCTTCATCAATCTTTTTCATAAGATCTTGTTCACAGTCTGTCAAAACAACAACAATTCCTTTTAATTTCTCCAATAGTTCATCAATGTGATCTAATAGGAAGAAATACTAAAGGAACAATTCTGTAAAGCAATATATACTTTGTTTGAAATCTTTCTGAATAGCAAATATTTTTTCTTCATCTTCTTTTGTCAATGGTACTTTCATTGCTTTTGGTAAAGTATGGAAATCATATATTCCATCTTTAATCCACTCTACAATAACTTGCAATGTTGTCAATAAATGCTTCATGGGTATAGCTACAATACGTACACGATGAGTATTTTGAAGTCTATAAACTGGGATGAATGTCATTGATTTAATGATATACTTACTTGTTCATTCCAAGGTCATCAAAAACCTTCAATGAATCATGTTGATCCTCTTGATCATAAACTATTTTTGGTAAAACATCTCCCACATTTTGATCAATAATGTCATTTTTAAGAATTTGACCCTCTTCAATTTTCTGTTGATAATTAATAACGTAATTTATTGTAAAAAAAACCATACTTTAATGATGTGTTCAGCAATAGTTTTTAGACAATGAGCCACTTCTACAAGTTTATCATAATCAAGAGTGTACAACTCATACTTTAGAGCTGTCAAAAAGCCTTCATCTTGAGGTATTGATTTCTAAGTCACAATTATAAATTTAAAGCAAAAAAACAATTGCATTTTGTACTTTCATATCTTTATCATTTAGCTGGTCAAGTGTGAGCATTAGTCTAATTGAATAAAATTATAATAACAAAATATGAACATTATTCTAAAACATACTCAGTTGGATGTTGCATTTTGCTTTGTTCAGTGCGCATTACTTTGTAGTGAAATTGCAATTTGAGTTTAGTTTGGCAATCATCAATTCGAAGTTTTCCAGCAATGAAATGCACTACAATTTCTTCTTGTATTTTATCTAAATCATATCCAGTTTCAGTTTGATGTTTATGTACTAGTTCTAACAGCAACCTAAATTGAGTATGCAATTACAGTAATCATTATAATCACTGATGTTCATATAGGTACCTTCTATTTGATACATTGTGGCCTAATATACATGAATATTCATTGACAGCTAATGGGTGCACGCGAGGCATTGCAAACTCAGCATTCTCTTCATCTGAAAGTGTAGACAAATACTTTTTAAGATTATCATTACGCTTGATCAGTTCATTTATCTCTCTTAAAAAGTTGTTATGAAAATTAACCTATTAAGATAAACAAAAATTTATTCAAGATTTCTTCATAACAGCTTAATTCTATTAATTACAAATTAGACTTTACTGTGTAGCATAAATTCACAAATAATGATAAAATGTGTACTATGACCCCAGTACCATAAACAATATCTCATGTTGCATTGACATTGAATTAAATTTGTTTCAACCCTGGAATGTCTACTAAAAAAAGTGAGAGCAGCATTACATTGTAATTCTGCCTTTTAACTGTCCAAACTGCAAAAATCTGCAAATAAAGTTATTACTAAAAGATTTGCAAAATTATTCTTTGCAACAATTTCATGCCATCTATTGGAATACTGGTACATATAGTTACTTATTGTTAGTAATTAATTTTTGGCTAATAAGGATTAATACAGAAGTGATAAAGTTAAAGGCTAACAGTTAAAAACTAAGTATACTCACAATATCTTGAATTACAAGGAACAGATAATCTCTTTCTTCCTCTGTCTCAACACTTGTCCCTCCTGGTAAAAATCGAAACACAAACACTGCATCATTCATTAATGGAACTTCATTTTTCCTTTGTACATTGGCACAAGCACCAGCACCAATTGAAAAGTCAATCACTTTCAAATATTCATTGTAATCATCTAAAATTTAATATAAATATCACTTGTATAAATAAACAATCAAATACTTTGTACTCTTTCAAATAATTTAGTGTAATTCTTTTCCACATCTTTTGAATATTTTTCTGAAGCATATTTCACAGCACTACATATGCCCATTTTTGTGCTTTCCTCTTGAGTAAGATCATGAGACAAGTCAGTAACAATCCACTGATAGAATTCAATGAGAGATGGTAATAAAGCACTATAAGACTGAAGACGAGAATATGAATTTATTAGTTTCACTAAAACATCATATTTCCCTTTTTGTTCAGAGGAAGCACAGTGTCTTTGCACAAAATGAGTGAACTGCTGTAATGTGGGCACATGAAGGTAAGTACAACCAAGCTCTCTGTGGACATAAATTAAAATGTAATTAAAATGATATAGCTTGTTTTACCTTAAGTTCAATTTAGCTACAAGGTCATCAGCTTTTAATTTAGACAAATAACTTGTAAACTATTAAAATACCATCATAAGAGTATTCTATTAATAAATGTTTCCGATAAAAATATACTTACATTGTTTTCAACTTCTTTTAGTGATGGAACAAATATTTGAGCATGCCACATTTTTTCATACTCATCTCTCTTCTCTAATTCATGTAATAGCCCTGTTGGTCTTTGATATGAATTCTATTTGTATACAGGTAAAATTTTTTATGAATCAATAAGCTCAATCATACTTGAATCATTCTCTTCATGGAGCATACAATTAGCAAAGACAATTGCTCATCAG